GCTTTCTTCCGTATTTTCCACATTCATCCTAAGAGACATCCCCCTCCACTTTCTAGGCTGAACAACCCCCTTGGTGCCAGCCTTGGATGGGCCAAGTGAGGCTTTGTGCTGGGTACCGGCAGTTAGGCAGAGCTGCTCCCTGCCTGTCCCTTGCCCTGCCCAGGGCACAGCCTACTTTGCTGCTCTCTGCCACTCCTCCGTCTCCCTGGGGATCAGCCGCTTGGGAATCAGCAGGTAGGTTTTCTCAGGTCATCCTAAAGCAAAAGGGAGGGGGGTGGGAGAAAAAGAACAGAAAAAAAAAGGCAAAAGAAAAGCGAGCAAAGAGAGATGTCAAGGGGAACTAAAGCCAGACAAGACTTAGCAATGGTCCCCATGATAGGCAAATTCTTGCTGCACTGGTGTGTCCTGGCTGGTCAAAGGTGAGGGGCCAAGAGCTCTTTTCTGTCCCAGTTGTCCCAGCCTGGTCCCAGGGAGCAAAGAGGCGAAGAGGAGGAGGAGGGGGCTGCCAGGTATGGGGAGCTGCCCATTGCACCTGGCACATTAGCCTGCCACAGGTGCCTGTTAAAGTTATTATTTCATCAGCCAGGCTTTGCTTTTGAGAAAACGTTTTCATTCTACTGATAAAGCAAAATAAGCTGGGTGGGAAATGCATCAGCACAGCTCTGCATCTGGAGCTCCCTCTGTGGCAGCATCACCCCTCAAGGGGCAAACCTCCTCACTTTAAAGGACTAGATAAAATACAGCCATGGTCTACTCACGGAGAGCAGCAGCCACATCCTATCAGCCAGATGCGTCTTTTTATCAGCGTTTTATTTCTTGGGGGGGTGTGTGTGTGCACACAGTGGGGCTTTCCCTTCTCCGAAGCAACACCTTGCTCTGATGTTCAAGTCAGGGCATCGCCTGCTCCGGCGAGCGCATCCCTCCCTCCCACTCTGTTTTTCCATCGGTTTGAGTCACCGCGGGCACCGCTGGTCCCCTTGTCAGGTGATGATGTGTCCCTGCCCCTGCACTCGGGCGTCTCACACACGAGTGACAGTCAGCCCGGCGCCGGCACCTGGTCACCGCAGCTCTGCGAGGGCCTGGCTTTCCGCCCCCAGGGACACGACCTGACTCGTCTGTGAGTGCCCTCTTCCCAAACCCCTGTGACAGAGACTGCCTGGCAGCGCTGTGACCAACTGCCCTTATTTCTCTCGAATATCCATTCACTGTCAGAGCATTTTTCTTTGTGTATTGTGCACAGGACAGAGACAACATTGTTCCTCTCCCTGCCCCACTATTTCTTTTTTAAGCTTCCCTCAGTCTTCCTTTCTAGGAAAACAACAGTGCCGGTTCTTTCAACACCATCCCCACAGGTCGTGTTTTCCAGCACCATACGTTACCGTGATGTATGGGGACAGCGTGGAAGAAATGGGGCTGCTGAGCACGGACACTCCACGTTCAGGCTCACAAACCAGCGGCTTTCCAACCTTTTTTTGTTTGTTTTGCAGACCCTTAAATAGTTTCCAGTGGCAACAGCAGCAGTGTATGTGGTCACTTTTTGTGGACATGGTGGAATTTTCCTCAATTTTCCTGTCTTTTGAAGACACCAGAGAGGCAATATTTAATATTTTCTTTACAATTTCTCTTGCTTCCATTTTTCCCTTGCTACAGCTTTTAATGTTGGTGTCAGCAAAGAAGAATTAAAAAATGAAATCACTAATTTTAGGCAGTTTTCATTTGAACTTCTGATTGCTCTTACCAAGACACAGGGTTTTTTTAAGCCCTAACAAATGCCTTGAACACAGGGACTCTGTAACCTTTAGTTATGTATTGAGAGTAACTTTTTGTGGTTGCAAATGCAGGGAAACACTGGATGCTAATGCTACAGCCAGTGCCACGTTAGGAGCAGCCAGTGTTGACAGCACAGGGAGTCAAGAAGCAGATAAGGATGTGTGCTGGAACAGGGCCAGGAAACACAGACGGTTCGATTCCCTCTCCCCACGCTTGTCCTGACAGTGAAAAACTGGGCAGTCCACGCGCCCCGTCATTACCCAACCTTCGAACTCAGTTGCTGTGATTTTCTAGCACAACTTATTTTCTTTGAACAGCTGTGACGCTACGTGAAACTTGGACTCTGTGATTTTAATTACTTTGTAGAAGTGCCTGTATTTGTCGTTCCCAGGTATCTCATAAATCCACCCAAAATTCAAAGCTCCAGCTCACAACTGGCCCAGGGTATTTCACCTACAGTCACTGTGCTTCGTAAATGTGACATGGCAGGATACCACCAGAAACTGATTTCTGCGCTGGCTTAGTGACTAGAACCCCACCCCCCGATTTTCCCCCAGGGTAAATCAGCACAGGCACGGGGCCACACACCCACCTACCCCCGCGTGTGGGCAAGGCACGTGGCTGAGCATCCTGCTTCAGGGCAGGGACGGTGGTGTCCATGGAGGGGTCAGACCACCTCGCCTCTCCCAGTGCCAGAGATCTCAGCTGCTCTCACACATTTGCTCTGCAGTGGCAGAGCACAGCCCAGGCTAACTGGTCTGCACTCACTGTGGATGTGACACAGCTCCGTCCCTGTGAAGAATCCTGCTACTTCCATGTTCCTCTGGTGCTGCCGTTGTATGAGTACCTCCGTGCCAACGGATGGGGAGCCCCAGCTGTCCCTGAGCTGTGTTAAATACCAAACCCAACAGGATTAGTCAGGTTTTGCCAAGGTTTGAATGAGATATATCTGAACAACTTGCAATATCTTCTGCGATATCTTCAGAAGATACTGCAAAACCATCATCCTTTTACTTCTTTTAGACCTGAGGCCCAGATGATGGAGTGAGACCTGTCTTGAACTCATCCCTGGTGTTCCTGCACTGGCCAAAGCAGTTGCAGGGCTTGAGAGCACAGCTGTGGGATTTCACCTTTGGAACAATCGAAGCCTTTCCTCATTTCCGTAGCTCTACACGTTCCAGTCTTTTCAGAGCAGTACTCTTCAGTCATAGAATCTCATAGAATCATGGAATCATGGAATCATGGAATCATGGAATCATAGAATCATAGAATCATGGAATCATAGAATCATAGAATCATAGAATAGTTTGGGTTGGAAGGGACCTCTAAAGGTCATCTAGTCCAACCCCCCTGCCATGACCAGGGACATCTTCAACTAGATCAGGTTGCTCAGAGCCCCGTCCAACCTGACCTGGAATGGTTCCAGGGATGGGGCATCCCCCACCTCTCTGGGCAACCTGGGCCAGTGTTTCACCACCCTCAGCGTAAAAAATTTCTTCCTTCGATCTAGTCTAAATCTACCCCCTTTAGTTTAAAGCCATTCCCCCTTGTCCTGTCGCAACAGGCCCTGCTAAAAAGTCTGTCCCCATCTTTTTTCTAAGCCCCCTTTAAGTGCCGATAGGCTGCAAGAAGGTCTCCCCAAAGCCTTCTCTTCTCCAGGCTGAACAACCCCAACTCTCTCAGCCTTTCTTCACAGGAGAGGTGTTCCATCCCCCTGATCATTTTCGTGGCCCTCCTCTGGACCCGCTCCAACAGGTCCGTGTCCTTCTTATGCTGAGAACTCCAGAGCTGGACGCAGTACTCCAGGTGGGGTCTCACCAGAGCAGAGTAGAGGGGCAGAATCCCCTCCCTTGACCTGCTGGCCACCCTTCTTTGGATGCAGCCCAGGACGCGATTGGCCTTCTGGGCTGCGAGCGCACATTGCTGGCTCATGTCCAGCTTTTCATCCCCCCGTACCCCCAAGTCCTTCTCGGCAGGGCTGCTCTCAATCCCTTCATCCCCCAGCCTGTATTGATGCCAGGGGTTGCCCCGACCCAGGTGCAGGACCTTGCACTTGGCCTTGTTAAACCTCATGAGGTTCACACGGGCCCACTTCTCTAGCTTGTCCAGGTCCCTCTCGATGGCATCCTGCCCCTCTGGCGCGTCAACCGTACCACTCAGCTTGGTGTCATCTGCAAACTTGCTGAGGGTGCACTCGATCCCACTGTCTATGTCATTGATGAAGATATTAAACACTACCCTGGCCCTCGGAGAGGCGAGGTGGTCTGACTGCTCCATGGACACCACCGTCTCTGCCCTGACACAGGATGCTCAGCCACGTGCCATCCTGCTTAAAGGACTTAGTACCCTTGATCCCGCACCCCCCCAGCGCCCAGTGGAGCTCACACATCCTGCCTACTTGCTGTCATACCAATAAGCTGTACCAATCTGCTATTGCAAGAGAAGGAATTGACTCCGACTTTCGAGACTGCCTCCAAAGAGCTGGAGAGAGCACAGTGCTGCCATGCAATGACGGCTTCATGTGATGTGCTGTGATGTGGCACCTGTCTGTCTGCACACTGCTAAGCCCATGTGTCACTCCCTAGTTCAGATGCTATGGTTAGACTGAGCCACGAAATTCCTTGCCTGTCGCTAGGACAAGTGCGTGCTGTGACAAAAATGGCCTCAAACATTAGTTACAGCCACCACAGAAGCTGATCATCGCCATTCCACTAAAAAACACTGACAAAGTGTCCTATGTCACCCAAACCAACCCCATGGTGTGCAGCCTGGGCCCCTTCTTCCTGCCGCTACATCCTTCATCCTGGAACAGGGATGTCCACCACACAGACCTGTTCACCACGGAGAGCCTCCGGCTGCTCACCTCTGCAAGCCCTCAGCCCAAGCCGGCAGGGAAATCACATCTCAAAACCCCAGCTGTGTTAGAGCCGTAAGCCGAGGAGGGCATGTGTAAGTCAGCTGGCCTTCTTCCTATCATCACAGCACATGGCAGGAACAGGAGGGCTTCAGTGAACCATGTATGTACGCACTACAGCATGCTGTGCTTAGGAGAAGCTGCTCAGAGGATACCCACGTTACTACCTGCTCTGCTGATCAAGAAGCCAAGGCTGTGCTTGCCAGATCCTGTGGTTATTTACTCTGGCACAAAATTAAAATAACTCTGTTTGTACTGGAGCATGAGCAGAATTTAACTTTCACTTAAACATGCAAGCAAGGAATATCAAAACATGTAAGAGTGTAAGAAAATATATTTATTAAATTCCACAGCAATGCTATGGTAAAATTGTTAAATACATGCGTATTTTTAGACACCCAAGCAATACAACAGGAGTTACAACAGCCAAGCAAACTAGTTTTAAAATGGATGCAAAGTTGGTATCTTAAGTGTTAGGTTAGTCTTAAATGTCATCTGCCACACTGGAATATTATTTCCCCAACATGATCCCACGCTTCCTTTTTCAAGCATGCATTTGTTTAACTGCTTAGCTAATAAATTTTCATGTTGATACACTTTGTTGAATCAGTATTTTACTTGGTATGCTACAACTTCATTAAAGTGCCTTGTGATGATTTTGCTTAAATTGTGAAAGAAATATTTTTTCAATAGCGGATTTGGAAGCTGGAAAACTTCAGTATCATTAAGCAACAGAAATATGTTAAATGACTGATTAGATTTAGTGTGTTAGGAAGACTATTTTGTCAGCTTGGTTTATTGATTTATTCTCAGAATTAATTTCTATAGATGACTATTTCAAATTGGCAAACAGTATTTTCACTGGTATTAAACAAAAGTCCATTAAAATCTTTGTAAAAACAGAACATAAAACCATCTCTAAACAAATTATTTACGCTGTAAAAAATATGGTATAAAAAGAGCTAAAAAAACATTGAACCTGTTCACAGTATATATTTTTAAAGTTACAGCATTATAGTACAATGTTTGTTTTTTTCCAGGTGACCTGTATGACTCCACCAGCTCCACTGTTTTGTGCGCCACAACAGGATCAAGGTTCAAATTACTGTTACCTTCGGGTAGGATTTCAGACATGAGTCGATTCAGTTATCTTCTTTTTTTTGCTATCCCCTGGTTTACAAACTTTTCAGACATGCTATGAAGCATAAAATGTTGTTCATCCTAAGCCACTCTTGAATCACATTAAGGAAACATTGACAAAGTGATGTTCAAGGCTTCTTTTTTTATTGTATTACTAGTAAAAAGTGTGAGACCTTACCAGTTTTTATTTTACTTTGCCCTGCTTGAGCTATTTCTTTTTTTAATTTTTCTCAGCCCAAATAATGAAAATGAGAATATTTCATTTTTTGCTTTGTCCCCCTGGGTAAGTTTTACTTACTACATTTTGCACAACATGACACCAAATGAGTTGCAAAGGTATCGAACCCTCTCGTGGAAGTTGTGCATACACTTCCACTGGAGCTTGCTTTCATGTAACAACGGTCGAAGTGCAGATTTGGGACCATCCAAAAACCTACCTAGAGATCCTCTTGGGTATCACATTAAAAAATCAGGATGCCAGCTGCTCTGCTGCACCACAAAACCACCCAGGCAGCGCTGGCACAAGGAGAGGGCGAGACTGGAGAGGGATTAACCCCATCCTCTCATGCAGCACCCTGCCATTAGACCAGCTCACCTGCATGGGGATGCTGAGCCCTTGCCCTCCAAAATACCAAAGTTCTCTGGAGACTTTTTTGTTGTAAAAGCAGAAGGAATTAATAGACATTTTTGTGGGGAAAAAAGTAATGTCATGCACCCTGGGACAACTTGTAAAGTTACAGAAACTCCTGCCAGTATCATCTGAGGTTTGTTTGCATAACATGCAAAAAGGAAACAAACACTGGCTATCTTAGAAACACTGGGGAAAATCCAGAGTTATATAAATGGGGGAGGTGAGGAAAGAAAATTGTTATGGAAGAAACTGTTTTCCAACTTCTAAGGAGATATTTAAAAATTTAAGACAGGCCTAAGCATGAGGAAATTAGTTTTTAAACACTCCAACATTTCTGAATCCCTGTCTGGCATTTGGGGTCTGGGACTATGTTTCCAGGCCTGCTAAGGAAAAGGCCAAGAAAAAGCCAACAACAAATCTTGCAAACTGCTGACAGCATCTCTGAGCATCAGCCACGCATGGCACTGCTTAATGCACAGCAGCACAAACTCCGTGTAGCGTGTCGGGAGGAGCACAGACAGCAGCTGTTTCCTCTAGATGAAACTGTGTCTCAGAAGGCATATATTCAAGTACAGGGCTCTGAAAAAATCGCTTTGGGCATTGCAAGCCAACTTCCTCTGCAATACACACATAGGTACATAATGATGTAAGCACCTATGTGCATAAGGGGTTAGGACTTTTCTTAGTGTTAAAAATATTAATGCCATTTGCACTGAAGTCTTCATCAAAGTCTGTGGTGGAAGAGAAGATGCTATTTACATGGGAAGCTCTTGATAGATCTATGGTACATAGAGCCTTGTTAGCAATCTGTTTCTTTAAATGTTACATTTTTCCTATGTATTTTAAATTGTTTTACTATATTTCTATCTACTTGTAGGTATACAAATATTCTATTTACAAAACAATATTTGTCTAAAAATAGAGCACACGATTTCTCACTGCCTTTTCAGAGTGATGTCTAAACACCTTCTCCCTCCAATGCATCCAATTGCCTTCATTTTTGCTACTATTCACGTTCAACTGAGTGTCCTGGATGACAAGATCACAGGAAACACCACAGCCCTAAGCTTTACCCAGCTGAACATATCCAAAAAAAAAAAAAAAAAAAAAGGCGGCTTGAACATGCCTTTTCACAGCAGCTCAAAACTCGAGGTCAGCAGGAGCTTGCTGCTGCCGTGCTCCCAGCAGAGGAAAGCTCTGGTCCCCCACATAAACTGAAGACAAAGAAACATGTCACATTTGCCAATTGTGCCGTGCCAGACAACACGGCTACTGGTTCCCTTTGGAAATGGTTTATCCATGAAAGCAGCAACTACAGATAATAAAGACAGCTACCACAGCAAATGTCAGTCATTGGGTCCTAAGTCTGCCTATGCAGCCACTGCATAGCAGGGGAGGTAATTCACTGCCTGCCTGTAATATTAGCTTACTATTTTGTCGATATATTAACTAGTAGTTCTGTGAGGTATATCACATGCAGATTTATCATCCCAAAATTTAACACACAAAACCAAGATCCCAGATCCCCCCGCATGTCAGAACAACAAAAAAAATGAATGTGTCAAATAGGAGAGTGCACGATGTTACATCAAATGTGACTGATATTCCACGCATACAGTGAACAGTACAAAACCCCATTACAACCCCCAAATTGTCACATATGACAGGCATGGCTCAAAAATAAAAAGCAGCAGCACCGATGATTTGCTTCAGAAAGAAATTGCTTTCTGTAGGCATTAACACCCTACATCTCTGAACACTGATCCAACTGGAGGATTGAAGCACTGAGTTAGGAGTAACAGTGTTTCGGACACAATCTCTTCTGGTCATATCCCTTCTGGAAGTTGTTTTTTTGTTTTGTTTTGTTTTTTAAAAAAGCTGAACTTTCTATTCTTTTAGAAAAAAAGCAAAAAGCCAAAAGAACTAAAACAAAATAGACGTTCAATAAAGGAATAAGATCTTTCAGAAAATAATGGTTAGAAAATGCAGTACTTCAAGTTTCCTAATACATTTTTCAGAAACAATTTGACTGAAGAGGCTCACCAGAAAGCCTGAAGGCACTAGAACAAGGAGTCTCTTCCCTTCTGAAGCCCAAAGTTTTAGTCTTACAATTGTTATAATGCATTTAGAGGCTAAACAGCACCGTGCTTTGAAAGCGAATTTGGTAAGAAGACATTCCTGAAGATGCTTCACTGGTTTAACATGGCACTTGGGCTCAAAAAGTAAGTCCATTCCCTGACAGTCCTTGCCACTCATTCTTACTGCTCCATGCACCTAGGGTGTCTTCACATGGTCACTAAATTAGCACACACCCTCTCACTACCCATCTGCTATTTGGATTCGCTGCTGAAGATTTAAGATAGGCATTTGAAAGGAGTCCTCACTGGCAGCACTGAATAGGTTCAAAGAAAACCACAGAGGTGAAGCAGCTGAGCTTTCAAGTGCTGGAATGAAAACTGCTTACTGGTTCATAACCATTAAGCAACAGTAAACGATGCTACATATGCTGCACAAGCCTGTGTCTCTCCCCCATTTGCCCCACTCTTCTGCTACTGATACAAGATGATGCATATGGTAAGCCATTGCTATTAACAGGACTCTCCTACCCTACATCCTGGAAGTCAGAACACCAGTCAAATAAAATATATAGTCAAAGTTTAAAAAAAAAAAGTGATGGATAATTAGATGAGAGTGCTTTCATAACATCAAGGCAGACTCTGTATTTGTGGACCTTTTCCCTACCTGATCACTAAGAAATGAAGCAATTTAAAATGCTGTTGCCTTTACTGAATAGGAAGAGCAGCACAAAGGAAAACCTGAGTATGTGATAGTTGTGTTTAAGTCATTCACCGTGGGAGCACTGTGAAGGGCGTTAGGCTGCTCCCTGTGAGCTCTGTGTGTTCTCTGCAGCTGCACTGGCTTCCAGTCTGCCAAATTAAAAATTGCTAGTCCTCTCAAACTGCAGTTTGGTTTTATTTCTTGCAATACACAGCCATATTAAAGCACAGTTACTCTTCATGATCAACTATTCTGCTACAGAGGTTTTTTTTGTTTGGATCACCATACAATACTGATTGTTCCTCTGCATTGAGAAACTGCTCCATGAAAAACCCGAACCACTACCCATACACTCTGTCCTTGACATCTTCTGCTTTCAACTAAAAGCATATGGCAGCACAATCTAAAATTCATCTTAGGAGTAAACACATTAAGCCAAATCTGCACTAAATGAAAGTAATCTGCTCTAAAAGAGATATTGTGAGGAAGGGTTGTTACTATTAGGATGTAGCCACCTCCCAGCTATCAAGCACAAAGGGCAGAACTGCTTCCTTTTATGTATTAGTTTAGTGTTCTGAATAATGGGCAGTAATAGATTAGGCATGAAACTTTCTCTCGCGGTGATCTCTGGTGACAGATAGACACACCAGCTCTTTGCACTGCCTCTTCATTCGCAGCTCTGCTAATTCCAAGATTCTACCTCAAAAATCAGAATCCTATCTGCACTTTCTCTTCTTTCAGACACACCTTGCACTCTGTCAGGTCTGCAGACAGATCTATTTTTACTGTCTTCACATTTCACTCTTCCAGGAGGCACACACAGGTAGTTGTTACTGATGATGATTTGGATGCCATTTAGTGTTTTGCCTTTTTGTCAGTTTTGAAATCCCTCTGTATTTTCATTCTACGGAGATGGCAGAAACATACCAACATGTGAAACGGCACCACTGTTGCTGTGATTAGGTTTAACTTGGCGTTTGTTTTTATTTTGATGGCCAGACCACATGGTTTGGAGACCAAATGTCTGCCAAGCTAGCCATCCCCCTGGTCTGCTTTCACACATTTACAACTAGCAGCTTAGCCAATTCAGCCTCCTTATCTGTTTTGGGATCTTGTTTAGAAAACCACTCCCCATCTTATTTATTCAAAAAACCACAAAATAGCTAAGGAAATTGAAATCTAAAAAAAAAGATTCAGTTAGGACTTGATGGAGACCCTTTTTGATCAAGCTCTTTAACATCTGACCTCTCACCACTGTGTTTTACAGTAAGGAACAGGTAAGTTAGAAAGCACTTTCTCCTGTAAGCTAGTGAAATTCATGTGTGCCACAGTCTGAAGTTTACACAGTGAAATGTTACAGCTGCCTAAAGATGCATATGTGAAAACAAGCATTTTCAAAGATGATTGTTCTGAACACTCCTTTAAGTACACAAATGTACATCATTTAAGCTTTCTTTGCGTCACTTGTAAAGGAGAGGTAGAATTAGCGGCACTAAAACACCCTTGGATTTTTCCCTGCCACTAGAGAAATCCCACCTTGTACTCCCAGCCAGGATTTGTAGAGAAGGTCCTGTTGGGTAGACACTAGAGAGCAGCCAGGCAGCAGGTGGCAAAGCTAATACAATAAAGACCATCCAAAGAACAATTTGTTCTCAAGGAGCTAATACTACTACCTCTAATTTCATGTGCCAAACTGCTTGGACAGCTAATGTTAGTAGACAGAGGTTTCCCCATGGTTTACATTACTGTATAGTGCAAAGACTGCTGAACACTGGGAGCGAATGGAGTACCACTTTGAAGCAGGAGATCTGGAGCTGAAGCTATGAAATACAAAATGCATTAGTGCAATACATTAGGAAAGATTAACTCCTTAACCAAAGGACAGAAAAAAATACAGAGCACTAAGTTTTAAAAAAAAAAAAAAATATTAAACTTTATGCAGTTCTTGTTGAGGTTTAAATCAGTGTTACACTTTTTTCCCCAAGTTTGTACCCCTGAGTCAAACATTGAATAAACATTGTACAGTAGGTACAGAAACTAGTGTCTAGTTAAAAAGCAACAGATTTGAATGGCCATTGCTTCAGAAGTGTTAAACAGTGACGATACCCTTCTGTATGGGAGAAGAAAAAAAAAATTGCACTCTCATTTGTTCTTAGTTTATAACTAGGTAAAAGATCTCAACAGTTTCCAACCACATTGTTTCCATGTGTTAGGCTGAGGTTTGTGATAAATGAAACCTTCAGTAAGGAAACCTGTTGGGGCTGCATCATTTGAGTATGTACAGTTGAGAACAACTACAACAAAGCAAAGCAATCTTTCCAAGTTATAAGTTGCATGAGACCATATTAATCTTGGAGCACTATGTGAAGGTAGACAGAGTTCTTTGACTATGATTATCAGGAGCTCTAAACTCAATACCCCTTATATCCAAGATATTTTACTAGAGTAATAACTAAATTGCTATAACTTTGGCCTCTCGGCCTCTATTAAAATGGAACATCTTTCGCTAACTTAAACATAACATTTAGCTCACTAGAACCTCTGCTGACTGTCTCCAAGAATAAGTCATGCCTTTTGCACTTTTCCTCCTCCTTTCTTTACAACATCAGGAATAACAGCTTATTTAGAAGGCAGGTTCAGGTGCAACAAGGACTCACTGTTAATCATTTGGTTTGTTCTGAAAAAAGTGTGTGAAGGACCACCCTATGTTACTAGGTTTGGGAGAGTCTTCATCATCTTTTGGGGGAAGCAGAAACTGTCGGGAATTAATGGAGCATGGGCTCCCAAAAGATGCATTTTCATTGTTGCTTTCAGCTGATCCAGGAGAGTCTGGAGTGTCCATGTTCCAGGCATTTATGTTTGCTTGAGGTCTGTAACCTGCAGTTTTATCCAATTCTTCCTCTGCAGGTGAGCGACTCTCTATTTTCAGAGCACTGATAGGCAGCTGCATTTGCGGCTTATAGCCTGCTGTAGTCACTAAGTCTATCTCTGGCTCCTCCTCTGGTTTAATCTGAGGCTGATACATTGACTGGATGTCAATGTAAACCACCTGAGATGACCCCACAGGTTCATCCATAGGGGGATTTGAGATCTCCTCTTCAATGATAGGGGGGCAGTAGGACACAACCACATGGTTCTCTGTTTCTGAGTCAGAGCCATCTTCAGGCACAGTGGTGTCTGCTGCCGGGGACATCATCTCTGTGTCTTCAATCTTGGGAGCTGCAGACCGTGTTTCCACCACTTCAACACTATTAGGGGTGCAGGGGTTCATTTCCAGTGTTTTAAGTGTCTTATTCCCCTGAAGCGAGAAAAAGGAGAAGGGGGAGAGACTAAGCCAAAGACCTGGAAATCCTGAAAGCAACAACTTGCCCAGATTAAACCAGTATGTTGGCTTGTGGCTTGTACTCATCCCACTGCCACTAGTACAATATAAAAAAAGTGGTTTAGTTCTCATTTTCTGGCTCATCATTTATTCCTGTTAATGTTAAAAGTATTTTAGCCAACTTAAAGGCTTGCAGATCTTGCAGTAAGTGTTTGAGAACTCTTTCCCCAAATCCTGGCTTTGTGTAACCCATTCCACAAGGTTATTTAAGTGTTACGCCCAGTTCCAGCTACTGTGTCTACCAGGAGGTTTGGGATATGGCAAGTAGGCTTCTCCACACTTTCTACTTCTCCTAACTCTGTAACAAAGATGGGTACGTTACTCCCACATCAGTATCGTGTACTGACACTTCCCATTAGTGCGGGAGGAGAGAAATGCCGCAGTCCTTTCCTAGTTCAAACTTTGCAAGTAACTAAATTAACAACAAGAAAGTTCTAGCTAGCATCTGACAAAAGTTACTCAGTAACTTGTCATGCTCCCCCTTGCCACAGAGTTTTTTCTACAACTGGAGCAGAAGACTCAAAGTTTGCAAAGGAATTCTTTACTTGCAATACATTTTAGAAGTTTAAAATACTAGATTTAAAATGCGGGTTACCTCACAGATGTTCTTCTGAAACTGTAGTGCCTTACTGTTCTCAGGATTCGGGATCTCTGGATAAAACGTTTCTTTAATCCTTTAAAGAGGAAAGAACAGACTTTTAAAAGTTACCAAGCCCTGAAGCAGACTGCGAATACACAACAGGGGTCAGGACATTTCCCTTTAATTCAGAATACTGAAGACATCTGGCACAAAGATTTAGTGTGTTACACTTTCACGGAGTATTTAATGGAAAAAACAGCAAACCTCCGGGGAACTTGATATGCCACGTTTACGGAAAGTTGAAGATGGTATGCCTACCTGAGTGTTTGTGGATGGCTCACAAATTAGTATGTCGCCAGCTTATTTCCACTTGGGAACTATTTATAAGCGGTGCTCACTGGGAGACAGGCTCCTGCAAAACCTTTTTGCATTCCTCACTCTGACATCTCTCCAACTCAATTTCTCCCTCACCTTCTACAGTGTGTTTTTGCCACCCACCTTTAAACAAAGCCCACTGACATCTTTGGGTACTTGGAGAAAACAAAGACTAACTAAAATAATGGAAAATTCTAGCACTGAAGCAAACACATCCAGGAAAAGATCAGAACTGAATGCATTTACCATTCCCTCTTTCGGTAGCAGAAGATGCTGGCCACCACTCCAAGCAGCACAACCACTGCCACAGGGATGAGAATTGCAATGATTAATCCTACAGCTGGGGGACGAAAAAAGAAAAGACAGTATATATATATATCCAAAGTTACCAGCAAGTTTTATGTCTTTTCTAACATTCCCACAGATTAGAGACCATTTCATCAAACTCATCTAACAGTGGTCTGCAAACAGTGACAGTGAAGCGTATGTATACCATACACTTCCCCTTTGCTGGAAGGGCAAAAGTCCATCCATAAACACAGCTGATTCAGTGATACCTACAGGAATCAGCAGATAATTCTCTCTGATTGCTTAATTGCGAAAGGCTTCAGGTGCAACACAAGACTGATTGCCACTGTAATTTCTGTTCTCAGTAAGCACTGGAATTGCACTTTCAGGTTACTTGAACTGGCCAAATCTCTGGTAATGGCTCTTATAGGCCAACAACTCATTGCACAAACTGCACTGCCTTTTATACGGTTTACAATGCTTCTAATCCCCAGAGTTTAGCTCCAATACATTCCCACTGCCTTCCTCCATTGATGTTAAGTGCCTCAAGTTTGATTTTTCGTGTATTTTAGTTGCACCTTAGTGTTTAGTCTTTCATATGAAATACTTCCTCCCCCTCCCCCCTTCCCCAAAGTCAATCTGTTTTTTTCCTAACTGTCTCTCTGGGTTTGTTTCTGTCAGGGGATCGATAAAACTGAATTCAAAGCAGAGAGGCATCTGTTTATAATTCTGAAATTGGTAAATACTTCCACAATGTCTTTCTTCCCACCATGTATTAGCAGATATTCATCATGGGAAACTTGACAAAAACAACTAGCTGCTTGAGAAGACTAAGTTCAGACTCCACCGTATTTAGTAGTAGTTTAGAAGTTATTTTTCTTGCATACATTACCATGAACTACAAGGTAGCTGTAACAGGAAAGGAACTTTTCCTCACCCTGAAGTGTACCAATTTTTGTATTTAAAAATAACCAACTAAATAAATTAAAAATTAGGCTGTAGGCCCAAACTACCTAACGGGACCAGAAAAAAAACAAAATAAGCTCAGCTTTATATACATTGTACAGACCCTGTGCTGAAGACTATTAATGAACAGGGATATTCAACTTACAGTCCTCCTTTGTCACCACATAGAGGCTGTTTGGAGGGCTCAACCCACCAGCAGTGTAGGCTTGCAGGTCCAGTTGGTAACTTGTTTTGCCTTGAAGATCAAGTATTTTCAAAGACTTCTTTGTTAAGTCAGTGATATTCTTAACTTTAAGCTCTGGATTCCCTGTTCGTTTGGAAGCAGTAAAAAAGCATAACCTTATAAGAAAGGATTCCCACAGAAAGCCTCAGCTTTAGCAAGACTTCCCTGAAGTCAGCGTATGAAACCTGAAGAACAATCTGTATAAAGGAAAACTGAAATAAAGAATCCTAGCAATGCTGCTTGCTTACACAGCACCAAACAGCACAGGAGTGTGTTGTTGCTGCGATTGACTTCAGTTTCTTCCACTCCTGCTTGACCTCTTATGTTAATGTGAATCAGGCTTCAGTTCTGTAACAGAGATGTCCATACAAGATGGGTGCTGGAAGAATATACCCAATTAAATATAGCCATGTAACCTCCCCCATGTCTCATCTAGCCAGGGTATCTGTACACAGGGCAGCGTGTCACATTGCCACTTAGTCACTGCATAGCTTTATGCAGGGTTTTCTCCGACTTTTGCCTTATATTAATAAACAACTGTGCTAATCACACAAGGAGCCAATTATTTCAAATGCTTTTGTCACATATCAGGGGCCAATTATGCCAGTGAGTAATGCAACTGAATTATGATTAAAGCATCTTTTTTTAAAGTGAAATTAAATTATTAAAAAAAAAAAAAAAAAAAAACCTCGAAAAGGGAGGTTGCAATTTAAAAATTTATT